CAGGGGCCCCATGATCCCCTATTGCCCGGGGACCCCATGAATTGTCAGTTCACCCCTGCATGGAAGCAACCATTTCTCTGCATTGGTCCAACAAGCCTTCATTGAGCCTGAGCTTTGCTGATTGCTTAGCTCTAGCTGTGACTCAAACCTGAGGGGGCATGCCCGACCTTTGCAGAGAGTCCACTGCTTTCCCACAGAGAGCACAGTGCAGGATAGAAGATCTTCTACTCTACGTAGGAAAGGCGGGCTGTGACTTGCCAAAATGTTGGTGCAATAAAGCTATTATACGATCCTCCTTGTTCATCTGTGAAAGCCCTTGGAGTGCCTACTAGACTTGTTGCAACATTATTCGCTTTGTATGGAGCACCAAGGCGTTTATCTTGGAAAGATTTCTGATACCGCCTTTATTTTTTTTCTATATGGCTGCTAAGCATCTGATGATGATAAACAAACGCCGTACTGTACACAGACAGATATTTTCTGTAAAGCTCAAGCCCTGCTACAATAATCTATAATTATCTCAAGCTGCCTGCCAACCATTCAGAATCTGCAGTGATGCCAACTAGGAAGAGTCATGTACGGGTTGCATGTGTTGGCTCTGCTCACTCTCTGATGGACGGGTGCCCGTTTCATGTCCTTGGACACCTGGAATAATATGAAGTGGGCCTCCATGGAGGGCTTCCAGGTGCCGATAGCAGGAAGCAATATGAATGATGGGGAGACATTAGCGTGATGTTCACAGCAGGGCATAATCTGTCAACGCTGCCGCCATGGTCTCACCAGCTTCGCTTGCTTTGGCCGCCAGCCTGTGGCCATTGTCATGGCGGCTCTGGATAGCGACTGCCGGGAAACAGAGGAAGTATTCTTCCCGGACAATCAGTGACATTTCACAATGACAGGATGTAATTCTTTGCCTGAATTGCCCGCATTCCTTGGAGACTATTTCTTACCTATCGAATGAAGTCTCTATACTAGACTGGATTCGTAGTCCAACAATGCTTCACCAATCTGAGCCAAGATTCCTTATTTTTAGTCATTTGCTAAAGATACATATTGCAGTACTGACAGTATATGGGTTCGGTTGAGGGTTAGATGTTGACCGAGGATTAAGGAACAGAAGGATTGAAAGGTGGAATGACAGAGGATAGCATTAAGGACTGGAAATGGGTTGAGTGCTAGAGTTTAAGGATTGAGCTGAAGGTTTGCATTAGGGTTTAGGTGTTGGGTTTAGGGCTAGGATGAAGGTTTAGGTATTCTGTTAATGACTGGTGTTGTTGGTGAGGTTGAGGGTTAGGCTGAAGGTTTAAATATTTGGTTGAAAACTTGCGTTAGGGTTGAGGTTAAGAGCTAGGGGGTTGGAGATAGTTTGAGAGATTGTTTCAGAGGTTGAGAGTGAAAGTTAGGGTTTAGAGGCTTGGTAGAGAACTAGAGTCAGGGTATATGGGCTGGGTTGAGGGCTAGAATGGTGGTTTAGGGGTTGGGAGCTAGAGTTATGATTTAGTTAATCGCTTGTTGGCTTGTGTTAGGTTGTAAAGGTCAAGTTGAAGGTAAAAAGTTCATTTGGAAGGCTTGTTTGAGAGTTTAGGTTGAGGGCTGGGGTTTAAGGGTTAGATTGAGGGCTAGGTTAGGATCTTCAGGCTAGATCAAGGGCTGGCGTTGGTTATGGTAAGGGTAAAGGCTTAGTTATGAGGGTTTGTATGTAAGTTTAAATTGAGAGCTAGGGTTATGATGTAGGAGTTAAGTTAAGGGGTAGGGTTTATGGGTTGGGTTGTGTTCTATGGTTAGAGTTTAGGGCTGGGTTGAGCACTGGTGTTAAAGTATTAGGCCGAAGGCTAAGGGTTCATTTCAGATCTTTTTTTTAGAATATGCATGGAGGGCTGAGATTAGGGTTTACACTGGGACCTAGGCTTAGGGTTTATGGGCTGGGTTGAGAACTATGACTCAGGTTTACAGGCTGATTTGAGATCTAAGGTTAAGGTTTAGATACTAGGAGGAGGGCTGGTGATAGGGTTTAGGTTTAAGGCTAGAATTAGGGTTAAGAGTTAGGGCTCAGGTTGAGGGATAGAATTAGGGTTCAGGTTAAGGGCAAGGGTTAGGGTTTAGGTAGAAGGATGAAGATCTAAGGTTAATGTTTAGGGATTAGGTAGACAACTAGTGATAGGGTTTAGATTTAATGCTAGAGTTAGGGCTTAGGTTGAATTCTAGGGTTAGGGTTTATGTATAGGGTTCAGTTTGAGGGCTAGAATTAGGGCTTAGGCTGGGGGCTATGGTTAGGGTTTAGGTTAAAGGCTAGAATTAGGGTTTAATTTGAGTTCTAGGGTTAGGATTTAGGCTTAGGGTTAAGGTTTAGGGCTAGAATTAGGGTTCAGGTTAAGGGCTAGGGTTCAGGTAGAAGGCTGGGTTTAGGTTTAGAGCCAGCGCTAGAGTTGAGGGCTATGGTTAAGGCTTAGGGGCCGACTTGAGAGCTAAGGCTAAGGTTTAGGCATTAGGTGGACAACTAGTGATAGGGTTTAGGTTTAATGCTAGAATTAGGGCTTAGGTTGAGTTCTAGGGTTAGGGTTTAGGTGTAGGGTTCAGGCTGAGGGCTAGAATTAGGGTTCAGATTAAGGGCTAGGGTTTAGGTAGAAGCCAGGCTGAAGTCTGGGTTCAGGTTGAGTGCCAGGGTTTGAGTTTAGACTATGAGCTAGGGTTAGGGTTTATTGGTTGGCTTGAGGGCTATGGTTAAAGTTTAGAGGTTGGCTTGAGATCTGGGGTTAAGGTTTAAACATTAGCTGGACAACTAGAGAAAGGTGTTAGGTTTAATGCTAGATTTAGGGTTGAGTTTAGGTTGATTTCTAGGGTTATGATTTAACCTGAGAGTTCAGCTTGAGGGCTAGAATTAGGGTTTAGGTTATGTTCTATGGTTGGGGTTTAGGTTAAAGACCAGTGTTCAGGTTCTGGTTGACTTTTAGAGTTAGGGTTTAGGTGTGTAGGGTTCAGTTTGAGGGCTAGAGTTAGGGTTTAGGTTACGTTCTATGGTTGGGGTTTAGGTTAAAGGCCAGAGTTCAGGTTTTGGTTGACTTTTAGAGTTAGGGCTTAGGTGTAGGGTTCAGTTTGAGAGCTAGAGTTAGGGTTTAGGTTACGTTCTATGGTTGGGGTTTAGGTTAAAGGCCAGAGTTCAGGTTCTGGTTGACTTTTAGAGTTAGGGTTTAGGTGTAGGGTTCAGTTTGAGGGCTAGAGTTAGGGTTTAGGTTACGTTCTATGGTTGGGGTTTAGGTTAAAGACCAGAGTTCAGGTTTTGGTTGACTTTTAGAGTTAGGGCTTAGGTGTAGGGTTCAGTTTGAGAGCTAGAGTTAGGGTTTAGGTTACGTTCTATGGTTGGGGTTTAGGTTAAAGGCCAGAGTTCAGGTTTTGGTTGACTTTTAGAGTTAGGGCTTAGGTGTAGGGTTCAGTTTGAGGTCTAGAGTTCGGGTTTTGGTTGACTTTTAGGGTTAGGGTTTAGGTGTAGGGTTCAGTTTGAGAGCTAGAGTTAGGGTTTAGGTTACGTTCTATGGTTGGGGTTTAGGTTAAAGGCCAGAGTTCAGGTTTTGGTTGACTTTTAGAGTTAGGGCTTAGGTGTAGGGTTCAGTTTGAGGTCTAGAGTTCGGGTTTTGGTTGACTTTTAGGGTTAGGGTTTAGGTGTAGGGTTCAGTTTGAGGTCTAGAGTTAGGGTTTTGGTTGATTTTTAGAGTTAGGGTTTAGGTGTAGGGTTCAGTTTAAGGTCTAGAGTTAGGGTATAGGTTGTGTTCTAGAGTTAAGGATTAGGCTGGGGGCTAGAGTTTAACTAGAGGGTAAGGAAGATAATTAGAGCTAGGAGTTGGGTTTTGCAGTTAATGGATTGGGGTCTGCAGGTTAGAATTATTTAGCATTGTATAAACTTTTATGTTGAAAATTCATCTTTGGGAATGTTCATCCTCACTTTCTGTTCTGGTGACAGCTATTACTGTGTCAGAAGGTGAGACGAAAAATCCGCCATTTTTCAATTGATTTTCCAATTGCAAATGTCAAAAACTACATTTTTCCAGTCTTTGGGGGGATTTCCCCTTCATTTCCTGTTGTCCCTCCAGAACAGGAAAAGGGGGTAAAGGTTTAGGGGGGGACACAGACAGCAATAAAAACCTCAATCTAGTCCTAGCCCTTCCCCTAACAAAAAGGTTAACTTCAGATTTTGAAGTATTACAGGTATATCTCATTGTTCCGCCACGTGCGTTCCATGAATCAAGAATTATACAGTATACCAGCAACATAAAATGTACTTCTGTAGAGTGTGATGATGTGTACAGTTTCTGTACAAAACGCCTTGGTACTTCAGAGCAAAGAGGTCCTGTCATTTAAACAAACTCCTCCCTTTTTTCTATCATTTCGCAGTGTCAATACATCAGAAATAGAGGAGACATCTTACCTTTTTCTTGCTGCAATAAATCTGCCATTTCTTCTCTGCGGGGAGCGCAAACATGGCTTCCCTGTTCTTGTCTGTAAGATCCAACTCATCCTGCAAAACAAAGGACAAGCCTGTGAGGACGTCCCTGCCGGTGGGGGCTGGAAAACACATATCAGGTACCCGCTTCACTGTACGCTCTGCTTCACACTAATGCGGTGTGGGAAACGCCACGTGTCGCAGTAACACGGCATCCATGAGATCTGGTACGGGTGGCAATGTTACCTCCCTAGCAGTCTGATGATGTCAGTATTTCTGTACTCAAAGCGGTACATTTTTTTGCATGAAAATATGTCATTTTTATATTATAGGCCTGTAATTTTTAGGAATAACTCCCTGAAATCTGTCCGAACAAGAGTCTAGTAAACATCCCGGGGAGGATAAAATTTGAAACACGAAATCATAAATTATAATTTAATAAATAATCATAAAAAATAATATAATAACACATTTAATTCAATAATATAATCAAACCAAAAACACAGAAACATCATCCAGCCAGGAAATGAGGCGGAGCTCTATTTGATTTGCTACGGCTACTAATGCACATTATGAGAAGCTCCCAGTGTACAGTGACATCAGAGGAAGCCATTTCAGTGCAGGAGAGGAGCCGATACACCTGTGCAAGACTGAAAGGGAGGAGCCGATACACCTGTGCAAGACTGAAGGGGAGGAGCCAGTACACCTGTGCAAGACTGGAGGGGAGGAGCTGATACACCTGTGCAAGAATGAAGGGGAGGAGCCGGTACACCTGTGCAAGACTGAAGGGGAAGAGCCAGTACACCTGTGCAAGACTGAAAGGGAGGAGCCGGTACACCTGTGCAAGACTGAAGGGGAGGAGCCGGTACACCCGTGCAAGAATGAAGGGGAGGAGCCAGTACACCTGTGCAAGACTGAAGGGGAGGAGCCGGTATACCTGTGCAAGACTGAAGGGGAGGAGCCTGTACACCTGTGCAATACTGAAGGGGAGGAGCCAGTACACCTGTGCAAGACTGAAGAGGAGGAGCCGGAACACCTGTGCAAGACTGGAAGGGGAGGAGCCGGTACAACTGGGCAAGACTGAAGAGGAGGAGCCAGTACACCTGTGCAAGACTGGAGGGGAGGAGCCGATACACCTGTGCAAGACTGAAGGGGAGGAGCCAGTACACCTGTGCAAGACTGGAGGGGAGGAGCTGATACACCTGTGCAAGAATGAAGGGGAGGAGCAGGTACACCTGTGCAAGACTGAAGGGGAAGAGCCAGTACACCTGTGCAAGACTGAAAGGGAGGAGCCGGTACACCTGTGCAAGACTGAAGGGGAGGAGCCAGTACACCCGTGCAAGAATGGAGGGGAGGAGCCAGTACACCTGTGCAAGACTAAAGGGGAGGAGCCGGTATACCTGTGCAAGACTGAAGGGGAGGAGCCTGTACACCTGTGCAATACTGAAGGGGAGGAGCCAGTACACCTGTGCAAGACTGAAGGGGAGGAGCCGGTACACCTGTGCAAGACTGAAGAGGAGGAGCCGGAACACCTGTGCAAGACTGGAAGGGGAGGAGCCGGTACACCTGTGCAAGACTGAAGAGGAGGAGCCAGTACACCTGTTCAAGACTGAAGAGGAGGAGCCGGTAGACCTGTGCAAGACTGAAAGGGAGAAGCCGGTACACCTGTGCAAGACTGAAGGGGGGAGCCGGTACACCTATGCAAGACTGAAGGGGAGGAGCCGATACACCTGTGCAAAACTGAAGAGGAGGAGCCAGTACACCTGTGCAAGACTGAAGGGGAGGAGCCGGTACACCTGTGCAAGACTGGAAGGGAGGCCCCCAATGGGCAGTAAAAAATGTTTTTTATTGCAGTTTTATTTTAGTTAAACTGTAACGGAAATAAAATGTAGCAAAAAAATATATACAGGACGCAGTTCAATAGGAACACTTCAAAACTCTTTTGTAAGTTTGCTGGTTACATCATCGGTGCGGAACAATCCCTCAGTTCATTGCCGCGTGGATCGGCTCTTTGAAACGGTCATGAAAAAGCGATGAAAATCAGTCATAATCTCAACAGCCAGGTTGTAGCCAATGAAAAACTAAGAGCCCCCAGCCCCCCCCCCCCCCCCAAGGACCCCCATGGCGAGAGCGCTCCAGAAACCCGCGGCAGCATCCGCCGGGCAGCTCTCTGCCAACCCAGCCAGCCGAAGAGATTTTTGGAAAATGTTTTCTGGGAGTTGCTGCGGCCGAGAGAGACGACATATGGAAATGTTTAAAAGATGGATTCCCAAACTTAAGGGGCAGACAAGTGAAACAAGAGCCTTACCCATGTTACATCGGATTACCGGGCCCCGGGCCCCGAGCGACATTCCACCGCTAAAAATAAGCCAGCTATGCTGTCTGAGGTCAGGAGGCTGCAGAGACGGCCGGGCTGACCCCGAACTTCCAGCCCCCGAGACAAGACAGAGATATCCAGTCTGGAAAAGGGGTTGTGAGGCCTTCATTACAGTATATAGCTCCAACATATTCCATCACGCTGTACAGAGAACACTGAGCCAGTTACATCAGTCTCTGCACCACAGGAGCTTACACTCTAATGTCCCCTCCCCCCAGTCACATCAGTCACTGTCCCAGAGGAGCTTACACTCTAATGTCCCCTCCTCCACAGTCCCATCAGTCTCTGTACCAGAGGAGCTTACACTCTAATGTCCCCCTCCCCCAGTCACATCAGTCGCTGTCCCAGAGGATCTTACACTCTAATGTCCCCTCCTCCACAGTCCCATCAGTCTCTGTACCAGAGGAGCTTACACTCTAATGTCCCCTCCCCCACAGTCACATCAGTCTCTGTACCAGAGGAGCTTACACTCTGATGTCCCCTCCTCCACAGTCACACCAGTCTCTGTACCACAGGAGCTTACACTCTAATGTCCCCTCCCCCACAGTCACATCAGTCTCTGCACCAGAGAAGCTTACACTCTAATGTCCCCTCCCCCACAGTCACATCAGTCTCTGTACCAGAGGAGCTTGCACTCTAATGTCCCCTCCCCCACAGTCACATCAGTCTCTGTACCAGAGGAGCTCACACTCTAATGTCCCCTCCCCCACAGTCACATCAGTCTCTGCACCAGAGAAGCTTACACTCTAATGTCCCCTCCCCCACAGTCACATCAGTCTCTGTACCAGAGGAGCTTACACTCTAATGTCCCCTCCCCCATGGTCACATCAGTCTCTGCACCACAGGAGCTTACACTCTAATGTCCCCTCCCCCACAGTCACACACTATTATTATTATACATTTATATAGCTCTGACATATACCGCAGCGCTGTACAGAGACCACTGAGCCAGACACATGACTTTCTGCACCAGAGGAGCTTACACTCTAATGTCCTATCTTGTAAAGATACAGTATGTGAACGCCGCTAAGTAATATTAGGCTGTGTGATTATATTTTGTTTGAGTTACATTAAGTTTCATTTGTAAATGACTTTTCATTGCTTTTTTATTATTTATTTTTACATTTCAGTGTCAGTTGACATAATATTAAATATAGTTTATCTTTTTATCTAGAATGACAATATTAAAAACAAACCCCTCTCACTGACTGTAATAGAATAAAGTCTTCATCCGCGTTTGTCTATGGATTGCATTAAAAATACAATTATTTTTGTAAGACAATATGAGCATCATAAAGCCCGGCTTGTCATAAATTGGATTTACACTCACCGGCCCCTTTATGAGGTCCACCTTGCTAGTCCCGGGTTGGATCCCCTTTTGCCTTCAGAACGGCCTTCATTCTTGGTGGCATAGATTCAGCAAGGTGGTGGAAACGTTCCTCAGAGATTTTGGTTCATAATGACATGATGGCATCACGTAGTTGCTGCAGATTTGTCGGCTGCACATCCATGATGGAATCTCCCGTTCCACCACATCCCAAAGGTGCTCTATTGGATGGAGATCTGGTGACTGTGGAGGCCATAGGAGTCCAGTGACCTCATTGTCATGTTCAAGAAACCAGTTGGAGATGATCTGAGCTGTGTGATGTGGAGCATTATCCTGCTGGAAGGAGCCATCAGAAGATGGGGACACTGGAGTCATAAAGGGATGGACATGGTCAGCAACAATACTCAGGTAGGCGTGGCATTTAAATGATGCTCAATTATTACTAAGGGGCCCAAAGTGAGCCAAGAAAACTTCTTCCCACACCATGACACCACCACCATCAGCCTGAAACGATGATACAAGGCAAGATGGATCCACCTCACCATGACACCACCACCACCACCAGCCTTAACCACTGATACAAGGCAGGATGGATCCCACACACCATGACACCCACCACCACCAGCCTTAACCACTGATACAAGGCAGGATGGATCCCACACACCATGACACCACCACCACCAGCCTGAACCGTTGATACGAGGCAGGATGGATCCCACACACCATGACACCACCACCACCAGCCTGAACCGCTGATACAAGGCAGGATGGATCCACCACACCATGCCACCACCAACCTGAACCGTTGATACAAGGCAGGATGGATCCACCATACCATGACACCACCCACCAGCCTGAACCGTTGATACAAGGCAGGATGGATCCACCACACCATGACACCACCAGCCTGAACCAATGATACAAGGCAGGATGGATCCACCACACCATGACACCACCAACCTGAACTGTTTATACAAGGTAGGATGGATCCACCACACCATGACACCACCACCATCAGCCTGAACCATTGATACAAGGCAGGATGGATCCACCACACCATGACACCACCAACCTGAACTGTTGATACAAGGTAGGATGGATCCACCACACCATGACACCACCACCATCAGCCTGAACCATTGATACAAGGCAGGATGGATCCCCCACACCATGACACCACCACCACCAACCTGAACCATTGATACAAGGCAGGATGGATCCATGCTTTCACGTTGCTCACAACAAATTCTGACCCTACCATATGAATGTCGCAGCTGAAATTGAGACTCATCAAACCAGGCAACGTTTTTCTAATCTTCAACTGTCCGATTTTGGTGAGCCTGTGCGAACTGTTGCCTCCTGTTTCCTGTTCTTAGCTGACACCCGGTGTGGTCTTCTGCTGCTTTAGCCCATCTTCTTCAAGGTTGGACATGTGCATTCAGAGATGGTATTCTACATACCTTGGTTGTAGCGAGTGGTCATTTGAGTTACTGTTGCCTTTCTATCTTCTCCAACCAGTCTGCCCATTCTTCTCTGACCTCTGACACCAACAAGGCACTTTCCTCCACACAACTGCAGCTCACTGGATATTTTCTCTTTTTCGGACCATTCTCTGGAAACCCTAGAGATGGTTGTGCGTGAAAATCCCAGTAGATCAGCAGTTTTTGAAATACTCAGACCAGTCTAGCACCAACAACCATACCACGTTTAATGTCACTTCAATCCCCTTTCTTCCCCATTCTGATGCTCGGTTTGAACTTCAGCAAGTCGTCTTCACCACGTCTAGATGTCCAAGTGCATTGAGTTGCTGCCATGTGATTGGCTGATTAGCTATTTGTGTTACCAAGCAATTGAAGAGGTGGACCTAATACAGAGGCCGGTGAGTGTAAATATATGTTACTTTGTTTTGTTAAGTAATATGGGCAGCACAGTGGCAAAATGGTCAGCACTTCAGCACAAAAGTTGTTGGTTCGAATCCCAACCACTGCACCACCTGCCTGGAGTTTGCATGTTCTCTCTGTGCCTGTGTGGGTTCCCTCTGAGAACTCCAGTTTCCTCCCACACCTCAAAGACATGATGGTAGGTGAATTGGATCCTGTCCAAATTGGCCCTAGTCTGAATATAAGTTAGGGACCTTAGCTTGTACGCTCCTCGGGGGCGGGGACTAATGTGAATGTACAATACATATGTAAAGCACTGCATAAATTGACGGCGGTATATAAGTACCTGAAATAAATAATAACAAAATAAATTCTATAGGGGGTACACAAGTGTGAGAGCTGATAATATATGATGGGGGGGCTATAACAAACAAAAACGGGGTTCTTGGTTTTCCGTTCTCTGCTACAAATTTTCTCCAGATCTTAGTCGGCTCTCTTCTTTTACCCATCACTGAGAGTTACAAAACTCGCACTGTTTCCAGAGGAAGCACTTTGTCTGACATCAGAGCTTCTCCATGCCTTTGTTCCTAAAATGTCACCAAGAAAGGGGTGTGGGAAGCCCCCCGGGCCAGCGACAGAGCCCTTGGCGGGGCACGCAGTACGCTGGCAAGGATCGGAGATTGCCGGGATGCCATTCCAAGATTGTTAAAGCGTAAATTTGTCATCACTTTACTAAAAGAAAAAAAAAAAAGCGGCAATCTGCTGCGCAGATTGGGGACAGCGAGCGGAGGAACGCGGCCTTGGAAAACCTTCAGCTTACTGTGTGGCACAATCTTACAACAACATTAACGCGGCTTTTATTCCAAGGTCCCGCGGCTCTGGCATCGCCTAGACAAATCTGGGCCGTTCCACACAACTCTCGGCCAAAAAAAGAGAAAAATGACAAAGAGGCGAAGGGAGAACAGAAAATAGACGCTCTGATGTGTCAGCAGGTTCTTGTTGTGTTTTACAGAAAGGGAAAAGCACGCTTTATGGCCCTCAGACTGCATTCTACTCCTCTGTGACCTTATCAACTGCCAATCTGCAGCAGCTGGTAGAGAGGAGAAGAATGGAGAGCTTAGAAGAATGAGCATTTGTAGATCATAATATCTCTCTGTGTTAGTTTGTGTCTCTGCCCCTCCCACATTGGGGAGATTGCTCTCCAGTAGTTTGTGTCTCTGCCCCTCCCACATTGGGGAGATTGCTCTCCAGTAGTTTGTGTCTCTGCCCCTCCCACATTGGGGAGATTTCTCTCCAGTAGTTTGTGTCTCTGCCCCTCCCACATTGGGGAGATTGCTCTCCAGTAGTTTGTGTCTCTGCCCCTCCCACATTGGGGAGATTTCTCTCCAGTAGTTTGTGTCTCTGCCCCTCCCACATTGGGGAGATTTCTCTCCAGTAGTTTGTGTCTCTGCCCATCCCACATTGGGGAGATTTCTCTCCAGTAGTTTGTGTCTCTGCCCCTCCCACATTGGGGAGATTTCTCTCCAGTAGTTTGTGTCTCTGCCCATCCCACATTGGGGAGATTTCTCTCCAGTAGTTTGTGTCTTGCCCCTCCCACATTGGGGAGATTTCTCTCCAGTAGTTTGTGTCTCTGCCCCTCCCACATTGGGAGATTTCTCTCCAGTAGTTTGTGTCTCTGCCCCTCCCACAACGGGGAGATTTCTCTCCAGTAGTTTGTTACTCTGCCCCTCCCACAACGGGGAGATTTCTCTCCAGTAGTTTGTTACTCTGCCCCTCCCACAATGGGGAGATTTCTCTCCAGTAGTTTGTGTCTCTGCCCCCCCCCCCCCCACATTGGAAGACTTCTCTCCAGTAGTTTGTGTCTCTGCCCCTCCCACAATGGGGAGATTTCTCTCCAGTAGTTTGTGTCTCTGCCCCTCCCACAATGGGGAGATTTCTCTCCAGTAGTTTGTGTCTCTGCCCCTCCCACATTGGGAGATTTCTCTCCAGTAGTTTGTGTCTCTGCCCCTCCCACATCGGGGAGATTTCTCTCCAGTAGTTTGTGTCTCTGCCCCTCCCACATTGGGAGATTTCTCTCCAGTAGTTTGTGTCTCTGCCCCTCCCACAACGGGGAGATTTCTCTCCAGTAGTTTGTTACTCTGCCCCTCCCACAATGGGGAGATTTCTCTCCAGTAGTTTGTGTCTCTGCCCCCCCCCCACATTGGAAGACTTCTCTCCAGTAGTTTGTGTCTCTGCCCCTCCCACAATGGGGAGATTTCTCTCCAGTAGTTTGTGTCTCTGCCCCTCCCACAATGGGGAGATTTCTCTCCAGTAGTTTGTGTCTCTGCCCCTCCCACATTGGGAGACTTCTCTCCAGTAGTTTGTGTCTCTGTCCCTCCCACAATGGGGAGATTTCTCTCCAGTAGTTTGTGTCTCTGCCCCTCCCACAATGGGGAGATTTCTATCCAGTAGTTTGTGTCTCTGCCCCTCCCACAATGAGGAGATTTCCCCCAGTAGTTTGTGTCTCTGCCCCTCCCACAATGGAGAGATTTCCCCAGTAGTTTGTGTCTCTGCCCTTCCCACAATGGGGAGATTTCCCAGCAGTAGTTTGTGTCTCTGCCCCTCCCACAATGGGGAGATTTCTCTCCAGTAGTTTGTGTCTCTGCCCCTCCCACAATGGGGAGATTTCCTTGCAGTAGCTTGTGTCTCTGCCCCTCCCACAATGGGGAGATTTCCTTGCAGTAGCTTGTGTCTCTGCCCCTCCCACAATGGGGAGATTTCCTCGCAGTAGCTTGTGTCTGTGCCCCTCCCACAATGGGGAGATTTCCTCGCAGTAGCTTGTGTCTCTGCCCCTCCCACAATGGGGAGATTTCCTTGCAGTAGCTTGTGTCTCTGCCCCTCCACAATGGGGAGATTTCCTCGCAGTAGCTTGTGTCTCTGCCCCTCCCACAATGGGGAGATTTCCTTGCAGTAGCTTGTGTCTCTGCCCCTCCCACAATGGGGAGATTTCCTCGCAGTAGCTTGTGTCTCTGCCCCTCCCACATGCCACTGGAATATCAGCTTTGGAGGTGATTGGCTGTCGCTCGGCTTGGCTCTGGTCACGTGTCAGGTGATTTGTTCGGATTTCATATCGGAGGATTTCTAGTCGGATGACCCATAATAATAATAATAATAATAATAATAATAAATGGCCGACGACTGCTTTATGTCTCTTTATTATATTTTATTATATGTTGCTGAAATGTGTCCTTCCAGGATGTGATTATCACCCCGAAGACACGCAGATCATTCCTGTGCAAACAAACATCCTCTTAAAGGGGAACTACAGCCCAATATAAACCTGATCAACCTAAAGAGACCCAAACAGATCCGACATTCAGCAACGATCTTCCCAGAAGGTTCCGTGTTACTCGATGTGTTTTATGGATGTTATTTACCTGTAAAAGCCTCCCTTGTGTAGACGGCCAAGGACCTGAGACCCAGCTGACTCAAAGGTGTCACTGACTCGAGTGACACTCTATAGCAGCCTGTCCACCTTTTTACCAATGAGGAACCCCTAATGTTCAGTTCTCAACCCCCTCCTTAAAAGCACTTAACTGATGGGAAGAATGTCCCTTACATTGGTGATCAGTGGGAAGAATGTCCCTTACATTGGTGGTCAGTGGGAAGAATGTCCATTACATTGGGGGTCAGTGGGAAGAATGTCCCTTACATTGGTGATCAGTGGGAAGAATGTCCCTTACATTGGTGATCAGTGGGAAGAATGTCCCTTACATTGGTGATCAGTGGGAAGAATGTCCCTTACATTGGTGGTCAGTGGGAAGAATGTCCCTTACATTGGTGGTCAGTGGGAAGAACGTCCCTTACATTGGTGGTCAGTGGGAAGAACGTCCCTTACATTGGTGGTCAGTGGGAAGAACGTCCCTTACATTGGGGGTCAGTGGGAAGAACGTCCCTTACATTGGGGGTCAGTGGGAAGAACGTCCCTTACATTGGGGGTCAGTGGGAAGAACGTACCTTACATTGGTGGTCAGTGGGAAGAATGTTCCTTACATTGGGGGGTCAGTGGGAAGAATGTCCCTTACATTGGGGGTCAGTGGGAAGAATGTCCCTTACATTGGTGATCAGTGGGAAGAATGTCCCTTACATTGGTGGTCAGTGGGAAGAACGTCCCTTACATTGGTGGTCAGTGGGAAGAACGTCCCTTACATTGGGGGTCAGTGGGAAGAACGTCCCTTACATTGGGGGTCAGTGGGAAGAACGTACCTTACATTGGGGGTCAGTGGGAAGAATGTTCCTTACATTGGGGGGTCAGTGGGAAGAATGTCCCTTACATTGGTGATCAGTGGGAAGAACGTCCCTTACATTGGGGGTCAGTGGGAAGAACGTCCCTTACATTGGTGGTCAGTGGGAAGAATGTCCCTTACATTGGGGGTCAGTGGGAAGAATGTCCCTTACATTGGGGGTCAGTGGGAAGAATGTCCCTTACATTGGGGGTCAGTGAGAATAATGTCCCTTATATTGGGGGTCGGTCAGTGGGAAGAATGTCCCTTACATTGGGGGTCAGTGGGAAGAATGTCCCTTACATTGGGGGTCAGTGGGAAGAATGTCTTTTACATTGGGGGTCAGTGGGAAGAATGTCCCTTACATTGGGGGTCAGTGGGAAGAATGTCCCTTACATTGGGGGTCAGTGGGAAGAATGTCCCTTACATTGGGGGTCAGTGGGAAGAATGTCCCTTACATTGGGGGTCAGTGGGAAGAATGCTCCTTACATTGGGGGTCAGTGGGAAGAATGTCCCTTACATTGGTGATCAGTGGGAAGAACGTCCCTTACATTGGGGGTCAGTGGGAAGAACGTCCCTTACATTGGTGGTCAGTGGGAAGAATGTCCCTTACATTGGTGGTCAGTGGGAAGAATGTCCCTTATATTGGGGGTCGGTCAGTGGGAAGAATGCTTTTAGCTCCAGATATACTGTTTTATATTTTATATTGCATGTTTAGCAATGTTAAGTGTAATACCCCAATCTCTGAGCTGGCATCTCAGTCTAGAAAAGTGGTCTCCAAAGTGTGGCCCAGGGGCCAGATGTGGTTCTTTGCTTGCTTTTATCCAGCCCTTGGGGCATTATTTCCCCCACTGTCAAGCAACAGTGGGGCTTACTTCCTGCCACCAGGATATTTTCTTCTCCCAGTGGCCACAGTAAATGGGCAGAAGGTCTGCTGACTTTCATCAGCCAATCATGTGCGTGATTGGGTATTCTTTGCAAAGTGAAGCTTTACCCCATTTATTAAGCTCTGGACCAATTGCATTCGTAGAGTGCACAGTCTATTTGCCTTTTGTAAATCAACTCCTATATTGCCCCAAGTATTGGTCGGCCACACTTTCCCCGCACATGACCTTTCATGGCCCCCCAGTCTTAGTCCGTAGGGATCAATATTGAGTTGGCCCCGCCCTTTCCACACACATGACCTTTAATGGCCCCCCAGTCTTAGTCCGTAGGGTTCAATATTGAGTTGGCCCCGCCCTTTCCACATACATGACCTTTAATGCCCCCCAGTCTTAGTCCGTAGGGTTCAATATTGAGTTGGCCCCGCCCTTTGCAGCTATAACAGCTTCAACTCTTCTGGGAAGGCCGTCCACAAGGTTTAGGAGGGTGTCTATGGGAAGGTTGGACTATTCTTCCAGAAGCACATTTGTCAGGTCAGGCACTGATGTCGGGGGAGGAGGCCTGGCTCGCAGTCTCCGCTCTAATTCATCCCAAAGGTGTTCTATGGGGTTGAGGTCAGGACTCTGTGCAGGACAGTCAAGTTCCTCCACCCCAAACTGGCTCCTCCATGTCTTTATGGACCTTGCTTTGTGCACTGGTGCGCAGTCATGTTGGAACAGGAAGGGGCCATCCCCAAACTCCTCCCACAAAGTTGGGAGCATGAAATTGTCCAAAATGTCGCCTTAAGAGTTCCCTTCACTGGAACTAGGAGGCCAAGCCCAACCCCTGAAAAACAACCCCACACCATTATCCCCCCTCCACCAAACTTTACACTTGGCACAATGCAGTCAGGCGAGTACCGTTTTCCTGGCCACCACCAAACCCAGACACGTCCATTGGATTGCCAGACAGAGAAGCGTGATTGGTCACTCCAGAGAACACGTCTCCACTGCTCTAGAGTCCAGTGGCGGCGTGCTTTACACCAAGGCATCCGACGCTTTGCATTGCACTTGGTGATAGAAGGCTTGGATGCAGCTGCTCGGCCATGGAAACCCATTCCATGAAGCTCTCTACGCACTGTTGTTGGGCTCATCTGAAGGCCACACCAAGTTTGGAGGTCTTTAGCTATTGACTCTGCAGACAGTTGGTGACTTCTGCGCACTGTGCGCTTCAGCATGCGCTGACCCCGCCCTGTCATGTGACGTGGCCTACCACTTGGTGGCTGAGTGGCTGTTGTTCCCAGTGGCTTCCACTTTGTTATAATCCCACTAACAGTTGAGCGTGGAATATTTAGTAGCCAGGAAATGTCACGGATGGACTTATTGCCCAGGTGGCCACCTATCACGGGACCACGCTTGGAGTCACTGAGCTCCTGAGCGTGACCCATTCTTTCACCAATGTTTGTAGAAGCAGTCTGCATGCCTAGGGGATGGATTGTATATACCTGTGTCCATGGAGGGGATTGGGACACCTGAATCACATGATATAGAGGGGATTGGAACGCCTGAATCACATGATATGGAGGGGATTGGAAAACCTGAATCACATGATTTGGAGGGGATTGGAACACCTGAATCACATGATTTGGAGGGAATTGGAACACCTGAATTACATGATTTGGAGGGGATTGGAACACCTGAATCACATGATATGGAGGGGATTGGAACACCTGAATCCAATCATTTGGAGGGGATTGGAACACCTGAATCACATGATATAGAGGGGATTGGAACACCTGAATCACATGATATGGAGGGGATTGAAACACCTGAATCCAATCATTTGGAGGGGATTGGAACACCTGAATCACATGATATGGAGGGGATTGGAACACCTGAATCCAATCATTTGGAGGGGATTGGAACACCTGAATCATATGATATAGAGGGGATTGGAACACCTGAATCACATGATATAGAGGGGATTGGAACACCTGAATCACATGATATAGAGGGGATTGGAACACCTGAATCACATGATATGGAGGGGATTGAAACACCTGAATCCAATCATTTGGAGGGGATTGGAACACCTGAATCACATGATATGGAGGGGATTGGAACACCTGAATCCAATCATTTGGAGGGGATTGGAACACCTGAATCACATGATATAGAGGGGATTGGAACACCTGAATCACATGATATAGAGGGATTGGAACACCTGAATCACATGATATGGAGGGGATTGAAACACCTGAATCCAATCATTTGGAGGGGATTGGAACACCTGAATCACATGATATGGAGGGGATTGGAACACCTGAATCCAATCATTTGGAGGGCTGGCACCATACTTTTGGCAATATAGTGTATGATGACAGGTCCACTTTAGGCTTTTTATAATCCCACCATTTTGCAGAGCTCACATTGATCCTGGTAAGTGGCTCCTGATTCTTGCTGTTGGGGCTGAATTAAAGCAGCACTTCCCCGACCGCACACATCAGCGGCTCTGCTAATCAAACAGAGTGCAGACTTGGCAGCAGCTGAATGCAATGTTACACCGCCAGCGACACCTCCCGTCCTCTCCATCCTCTCCATCCCCCGGATTTACACCACCACAGCACCACTTAAGTGTTCCATTGGCTGGGCGTCTTCGTGGGAGAAGTTGGACGTCTACATTTGGGCGCAGCAGACAGGTAATGACATAAGAAGACGCTGCTGCGGTCATACGGCGCTGTGGCGTGTGCAGTCAATGATAACATGACAAACGGCAGTAATGCAGGGAGACACGTCCTGGTGTATTATATAATGTCCATGAAGCACTTTCACTGATTCGCTGTCATACAGAACATTCAAGCTGTTAGAAGGCCCATGTGAGAAGCCTCGGACGGAAGCTAACATTCTTAATCCTGCCTTGCATAGTGATTCTGGGCCGACTGAAATCACAAAAAAAAAAAAGCTGAGACAAGTAGCCGCTTCTGAGGGTTATTTAAGGAATCAGCCATTGCACACAATGCAATTCCACCCAAAAAGCATATCCAGTCCTTGTTTACAAAATAGCTTACGGCAGAACAGTGGCGGACTGACAACTCATGGGGCCCCGTGCAATAGGGGATCACGTGGCCCCTGTGTCCTTGCCCAAACTCAAAGAACAGCCAAAAAAGCCTATAAAAAAGGTACCAGGGGCATTTCATGGGGCCCCCTACTGACCCTGGGCCCTCAGGCAGTGCCCGAGTGCTCTAATGGTCAGTCCGCCCCTGCGGCAGAACTCCTGTCAGGATATGGACGCTTGAATATTTACATATTCTGCAGTAAATAAAGTTTGAAAGCCCTCACTGACCTCTGTACCTGCAGGCACTGGGGAGAAAATCATCCTCATAGTTTACAAACGAAGAAGAAGAAAGGTTGTCAAGTCAGGTCACAAAGCCACAAAAAAAAAAAGCTGTGACAAGTAGCGGCTTCTGAGGGTTATTTAAGGAATCAGCCATTGCACACAATGCAATTCCACCCAAAAAGCAGATCCAGTCCTTATTTACAAACTACCTTACGGCAGAACTCCTGTCAGGATATGGACGCTTGAATATTTACATATTCTTCAGTAAATAAGGTTTGAAAGCCCTCGCCGACCTCAGTAGCTGCAGGCACTGTGGAGAAAATCATCCTCAGTTTACAAACGAAGAAGAAAGGTTGTCAAGTCAGGACTCAGCAGTGCTCCTGCTCTGTGCTTACATTAAAGATTATGTGGGGGGGAGGGGGACCAATGATCTGGTAAAATGAAAGTACTTTCTGCGGTACAAGTTGAGGATGGATTTCTCCGCAGTGTCTGCAGCTCCAGAGGTCAGTGATGGCTTGTTTTAAAGAGGCAAAAGCACACTGCCCATACAGAGCAAGGAGAAGAGAATGGGAAAAAAGTAAAGGAAGTAAAAGAAGGGGAAGATATGGAAAAGAAAAAGGGAAAAGAAAGGAAAAAAGGAAAAAGGGGAAAGGAAAGGAAAAAAGGAAAAAGGGGAAAGGAAAGGAAAAAAGGAAAAAAGGGAAAGGGAAAGGGAAAAAGGAAAAAAGGGAAAGGAAAGGGAAAAAGGAAAAAAAAGGGAAAGGAAAGGGAAAAGGAAAAAGGAAAGGAAAAAAGGGAAAGGAAAGGGAAAAGGAAAAAAGGGAAAGGAAAGGAAAAAGGAAAAAGGAAAGGAAAAAAGGGAAAGGAAAGGGAAAAGGAAAAAAGGGAAAGGAAAGGGAAAAGGAAAAAAGGGAAAGGAAAGGGAAAAGGAAAAAAGGGAAAGGAAAGGGAAAAGGAAAAAAGGGAAAGGAAAGGGAAAAGGAAAAAAGGCAAAGGACAGGAAAAAGGAAAAAGGGCAAAGGACAGGAAAAAGGAAAAAGGGCAAAGGACAGGAAAAAGGGAAAGGAAAGGAAAGGAAAAAAGAAAAAGGAAAGGAAAAAAGAAAAAGGAAAGGAAAATAAAGGAAAGGAAAAAAGAAAAGGGGAAAGGAAAGGCTATAACATGGTAAGAAGCAGATAGGAAAGGAAGAAAAGAAAAGGGAAGTGAATGGGAAAAAAGTAAAGGAAGTAAAAGAAGGGGAAGATAAGGAAAGGAAACTATGTTCTGATGCTCCTATGCTGTCCAGTTATCAGGCGAGAGGTGGGGAGATGACACAGGAAGCTGCAGGCTCCCAGTAGTGGTGTCACCCTCTGGCTATGTGGTGAGGCATGCAGTGTGTAGGATCACCTGATCAGAATGACGAACGTTTTACTGTCTGTATTCGCTGTCTTTGCTGGGACTGAACAATCCTCGGAGCGGAGGACTGGAAAGCTCCACATTCGGGAAGGAGAGCGATGTGTCCTCCGGCCAAAAGTGAGACCACAAAGAGTTCACATCAGCAATCCGCACACTGAGATCGGCAAATATTTTCCAGGCTCGGCGCTCCAAAATGAATCTACTAGTTTGTTTATTTGGGATACAGCGTTACCCGGCAACAAAGCCGGGGTGGGGAGTGCTATATCCTGTCCCGAAATTCCAGGCACGGCCGGTCCAGGAAGGAGCTCACCGCGCTACGTGTGAACTGATCCCAGCGCACGCTCACCGCGCTACGTGTGAACTGATCCCAGCGCACGCTCACCGCGCTACGTGTGAACTGATCCCAGCGGACGCTCACCGCGCTACGTGTGAACTGATCCCAGCGCACGCTCACCGCATACACCGCGCTACGTGTGAACTGATGCCAGCGCACGCTCACCGCGCTACGTGTGAACTGATCCCAGCGCACGCTCACCGCGCTACGTGTGAACTGATCCCAGCGCACGCTCACCGCGCTACGTGTGAACTGATCCCAGCGCACGCTCACCGCGCTACGTGTGAACTGATGCCAGCGCACGCTCACCGCGCTACGTGTGAACTGATCCCAGCGCACGCTCACCGCGCTACGTGTGAACTGATCCCAGCGCACGCTCACCGCGCTACGTGTGAACTGATGCCAGCGCACGCTCACCGCGCTACGTGTGAACTGATCCCAGCGCACGCTCACCGCGCTACGTGTGAACTGATCCCAGCGCACGCTCACCGCGCTACGTGTGTGAACTGATCCCAGCGCACGCTCACCGCGCTACGTGTGAACTGATCCCAGCGCACGCTCACCGCGCTACGTGTGAACTGATGCCAGCGCACGCTCACCGCGCTACGTGTGAACTGATCCCAGCGCACGCTCACCGCGCTACGTGTGAACTGATCCCAGCGCACGCTCACCGCGCTACGTGTGAACTGATCCCAGCGCACGCTCACCGCGCTAACGTGTGAACTGATGCCAGCGCACGCTCACCGCGCTACGTGTGAACTGATCCCAGCGCACGCTCACCGCGCTACGTGTGAACTGATCCCAGCGCACGCTCACCGCGCTACGTGTGAACTGATGCCAGCGCACGCTCACCGCGCTACGTGTGAACTGATCCCAGCGCACGCTCACCGCGCTACGTGTGAACTGATCCCAGCGCACGCTCACCGCGCTACGTGTGAACTGATCCCAGCGCACGCTCACCGCGCTACGTGTGAACTGATCCCAGCGCACGCTCACCGCGCTACGTGTGAACTGATGCCAGCGCACGCTCACCGCGCTACGTGTGAACTGATCCCAGCGCACGCTCACCGCGCTACGTGTGAACTGATGCCAGCGCACGCTCACCGCGCTACGTGTGAACTGATGCCAGCGCACGCTCACCGCGCTACGTGTGAACTGATCCCAGCGCACGCTCACCGCGCTACGTGTGAACTGATCCCAGCGCACGCTCACCGCGCTACGTGTGAACTGATCCCAGCGCACGCTCACCGCAATTAGCCGAGGAATGGAAACCTCCCCACACCTGAAAATGTGTCTCTATGATCTTCCGAAAGATCTGATTGATTCAGGAGGACCGGCCATACACCAGGACAATGCTAGCCAATGAGGATGAAGAAGACCAAGAGATCCTGACATATAGGCAGCTGAAGTCACGTGCAGATCTTAAAGGGAAAGAAAATGAGTCCCCACCCACTGCTGACCTCCTGAGCCGCCTTCTTGGTCAGCGAGGCCACCTATCGCATTAAGGACCAATAGGAAATAACAGGAGGAGGGGCTAAAGCTGTCATTGACCGTAGAAGTCAGGATCTGCACAGAAGCTGCATGTATCTCTGGATTGTATTTTTTGTTTTAACATTTGTTTTCCCATCAGAATTCTAATAGAGAAAATGATTTAAGGGCGGATTCTGATGAGGACTCTGATGTAAGGGAATTCTGATGGGGACACCTATGTAGAAAGGGAACTCTGAAGGGGACCCACATGTAAGGGAAGACTGCGATGGGGACTCTGATGTAAGAGGGGATTCTGAGGTGATAAAGTCCGTTACTCCTTCCCTCAACAGTAAGGTGGGACTCTGATGAAGACACTGATGTAAAGGGGGACTCTGATGGGAATCCTGAAGTGAAGGTGGACTCTGACAGAGACCTGACATATGGGGGGGACTCTGATGGGAATCCTGAAGTGGGGGTGGACTCTGATGGAGACCTGACATATGGGGGGACTCGGATGGGAATCCTGAAGTGAGGGTGGACTCTGATGGAGACCTGACATATAGGGGGACTCTGATGGAAATCCTGAGGGGAGGGTGAACTCTGATGGAGACCTGACATATGGGGGGACTCTGATGGAAATCCTGAAGTGAGGGGGACTCTGATGGAGACCTGATGTAAAGGGGGGCTCTGATGCGAATCCTGAAGTGAGGGTGGACTCTGATGGAGACCTGACATAAGTGGGGACTCTGATGGGAATCCTGAAGTGAGGGTGGACTCTGATGGAGACCTGACATATAGGGGTACTCTG